TAGTAATTATATGTATTTTTATTTAAAATGAACTAAAAGTGATCGTCTATATTATCAATGCTTAAACATTATTATTAATGTTCATGATTCGAATTATATAATTTAATTTAACATCAACATAATTTACAATGTATAATTAAATAATAATAAATAATAAATTCTTAAGCAATTATGTGAATCAATTATGAATCACACAAATTGAATTGAATTGTGCAATATATTTTCATTTTAATCAAATATTCATATATCTTGCTTTATCTATTTACAAGTTAAAATTTTGACAATTATATAAATTATTATTTTTTTATTTTAAAAATTATTTTTATTTTGTTATTAGTAATCTTTTTTACAGCATATATCCCGTAAAAAATATTTAGATCAGCCTAAATAGATTCAAATTATTTAATTTGTTATATTTAATTTAAAATAAAAAATAATATTTTATATGTATTTTTTTCACATAAAATATCACATTACGTATAATGTAATATATATATAAATATCTATAATAAATTATTAATGTTAACAGTTAATTGATATAAATAGACTGATTAAATTATTTTTATAAATATGATATAAAATTGAGATAAATACTAAATCAAATAAAAAAATATTAAGAACAAAAATATATTTTAACGTTTAAAAAATATTAATAGACAAATAGAGTTGAATATCATAACTTATTAAGTTAGAGGTAAATGTAACAAAATAACATATTGAACATATAAAAGTTAACAATTGACCAAATTTTATTTATACAAAAATATTATACCATGCATAACTACAACTTGATCGGACACATTTATATATAAGTTAAGCTACATCGGTTTGTTACATATATTTTATTAATGAAATTTGATATTCTTTTTTTAAATTCTTACTATTTTTACTATAATTATAGTTTGTTCAATTCAAAATCTCTAATTAATTGGTTAACTAATTTAACTATTAATGAAATTATTAATCAATAAATTAGCAATAATAAAAACTTTAAAAATGCAAATAAAATTTTGAATTCGAAAAATTATTATTATTTTTCTTAAAATAAACTCTGGAAAAAAATCAAAACAAAATAACTTCATTTTTAATGTCGAAATAATATTAGAACCAAGTAAATAAAACTAAAAAATACTAAAAAAAATAAATTTTTAACAGAATTTGTAATTCTCGTTGTCAACTAACTTCACTGTTTCTTACCAGTCAAAGCTGTGACGTAAGAGAAAAATAAAAGACAAGATATAGTTCTAATCCGATTTAACCACCTTATAAAGTTTTCTGTGAAGTTCAACGTACGTCACCGTCGGGTAAGTTAAGTTCACCACGATCATCACATAAACATCATCCATACCATTAAAACTCTCATACATCCACATGCATACATACATACCAGCATAAAGTTATGTGGGTAATTCCGGAGTACCTTATTTGTACTTTTCCGATTAAAATATTATTTTAATTTTTATTATTTAAAATATAAATTGGGTTTTTTAATTTTTAAAATTTTAATTTTACAGTAGCTGCGATTTTTTTCGTTGGTGGACTCTTCTTTCTCTCTCTCTCTATCTCTCTCTTCTGCTCGCGATCTTCACGGTTTAGGCCTTTTGTTTCCTCTTCTTTTCCTTTCTTTCTCGATCAAGTTAGGGTTTCGAGTTCTGCAGCTGCGAATAAGAGGTTCTTCTCCGTTTCAACATCTGGAATCTCGTGCTCGCTCACTTTATTTTAACCTTCTTGTTCGGCTGACACGGGAAACAAAACCTAGATTTGCTGCTTGTTTTTAGGTCTTACAGATCTAGCCTTCTCTTCCTCTTCCTCTGTACTAAGCTTGAAGAAAATCTCGTCTCTTCCGTTTTCTTCTCCATCATGTTTTGGAAGCTCACAGCTCTCTCCACCTCATCGCCTGTAAGCGAATTCGTGCCTAATTTCACACTTTCTATTTTTGATGCCTTTTGTGTAATTGCTCCGTTTTACTTGTTTTTGTAATTTGTCTTTTTCTGGTCTTGTTAAGCTTGTTTTATGTCGTTTATATGTAATTGCATCGGGTGTTTGTCCTCCAGAAGTTTGTTTACTTCTTCTTTGAGCTTGATTATCATTCTCACTGTAATTAGCTTCGCTGGGTAATTTGGCATGCGGAGTGGCAGTTTCTCTTCTCTGATTTGTGTGCATTTTGTTGCAATTGATGTTCATTTGTTAAATGTTGAATGACTTACTTAAAATTGATTGTGTTTTGAATGCCGATTTTTTTTTTTGTTGTTTCTGTTCTTTCCTGCTTCTAATTTTCCGGTTTACATGTGCAATTTTTCACTGTTGCTTCACTTGCTTGTGTTTCCTTCTTATGTTATTTCTGAGAAATGTAGGGAAGATATTCAGTAAAGTTATACGTGTATGTTGTTTCCTTTCAACATAGTTTCTCATCTAAATTACCGTTAGGAGGCTTGTAGTCTGCTTTTTTGCTGATCGATTCAGCTCTTTTTGTTGTGATTTCCTAATCACCTCCTGCAGGTGGAATCAGTATTGGACAAAGAAAATTTTACATTGGAAGAGCTTCTGGATGAGGAAGAAATAATCCAAGAATGCAAAGCTTTAAACAGTCGACTCATTAATTTGTAAGTTATTTTCATTGGTGGCACCTTGAGTTTATGATTTGGCTTCCCTCTCCCTCCCCATATATGGATTCAGTTTAATTCCCAGTATTATTAGGACAACTATTAGTATAAATGACTTTCTTTCATCTTTAAATTTTTAGCAAGCAATGTAACAACAAAGTTTAACCGGGAAATCCTTATGATATATTTACATGCAGTCTAAGAGATAGAGCCCAAGTGGAGCAGTTAATACGGTATATTGTTGAAGAACCCCCGGAGGACGCTGACAGCAAACGAGCATTCAAGTATAACACTTTGTTTTGATAGTAAACCAAGAATTCATTTTATTTGCCCATGTTGCAACTGCTCTTATATAGAACATTTTATCTTGCTATTGATTTTTTTTTTGCTATGTTAGGTTCCCATTCATCTCCTGTGAGATATTTACATGTGAAATTGATGTTATTCTTAAGACTTTGGTTGAAGAGGAAGAGGTATGGGCCTCAACAGTTGTGCTCAAGAAATTCACGTGTATGTTTTTAAGCTGATTTAGTGTATTACATGTTTTTTCTTTCTGCAGTTAATGAACTTACTTTTCTCATTCTTGGAACCAAATCGTCCTCATAGTGCATTGCTGGCTGGATATTTTAGCAAGGTGTGTCTTCTTAGTACTTTGTACCTAAATAATGCATTTTTGAACAATTTTCATTTCTTCATGCACTGGATTATTACCATATAATAGATTTCCCCTGTTTTATCTTAGGTGGTCGTGTGCCTCATGATACGAAAGACAATCCCACTCATGAACTATGTACAAGTGAGTAATGTTTCTTTTTCTTGCTTATCTTTCCATTTTAGATGCTGTTGCAAGCATTCTCTGGCTATTGATGTGTCAAAAAGTTTGATAATATGTCTAGTGTTTCATGTATTCTTTTTATCGGTCGATATCTTGTTTTGCTGTTTATTTGAATAGCTAACTGAAGGTGAGGCCTTAGTATATTTGCATCCCTTGTGTTATTTTTTTTTTATTCCACGTCTCTTGTGTATTTTTAGAACAACTAGGTTTTATTCTCATAAGTTTAGAGTGACTGGAGGAAGGTGCATCTTGGAAATCTCATGAAAATTATCCTTGTAATTACCATTGTAATTTGTGTGAAGGTATTATTAAAAGAGACAAGAAGATGCACTTAATCTGAAATTTGGTGAATTTTTTTAATTAAATTTTTTTGTAGAAATATAAAAGCTTTATTTTGCGCATGGCATGAGTGGGTACACATGTACAAGGTGTATAAAACCTACCACGACAGCCTTTGGTGAGGTTTTCACAGTTGATTATTCTACACAAGGTTCCAATACTTTCAATTCAATTTTGCATCTTTTTTTTTGCAATTACAGTCTTTAATTGCTTTGTACATGGTACAAGTGGTTTCCTGATTAAGTTGAGATCTGGTGCAAATTTAGGATTGAGGTTATGCAAGATGGTTAAATTAGTTTACTACGCATTACTCTTGGATGGCATACAATGGGACATATTCAAGTACCCTGGCTGTTGTTGTGGGGTTTGCAGTTTACACAATACTAATACTGAAATAAATGCCAATAAAGGAATGCACTTTTGAGAGGTGTGAAATCTAGTTTTTCAGATTCTTTATCTTTGCGGAAAAGCCAAAGCAATAGGAGACTAACTACTTTGTGCTTGGTGGAGTGAGTTAAATGCATATGTATGCATTTATCAAATTTAGTGGTCTTGGTTTTAAGCAGTTACTGAGAAAATTTTTCCACATATGAAAAAGTTATGTTCATGTACTGTAATTGTTTATTCCCAGCCATGGCTAGCTTAAACATCCAGTGCTATCTGTCTGTGTTGTATTATTGTCACTGTGGGTCAACTGAACCAGAAGAACTTGGGGCCTGTTGTTTTGGAGTTTTAGAAGTCTGTCAAATCTCAATCATCAAAACCACCCTTTGTATCAAGAGCAGAAGTGTCAGTATTTCTGTCCTTATAAGCCCTTCTACTAAGATATGCTGATGGAAACTCTGCTGAGCCTTTTCATTTTCAGGCTGTCCTGTCTGGTTCTTGTGCATAATTCTTAAGCTATCAGAACTTATATTCTTGCTTTGTTTGGTAAATCCATGTACTATACCATTTTAAAAATCTGTTATATGTGAATGATCCTGCCCTGTATTTGCAGAGCTAATTTAATATAGCTGGAGATGATAGTAAAATTCTTATTTTAGTCTTTGTTTGTGTATGTTGAGTGCATTATATCATGATAGCTGGTCTTCCCTTCTTTTCTTGTAAAATTAACTCTGAATAATGATTGTAGTCCATCAGGATGTTTTTCGCCAACTTGTCGATTTGATAGGAATTACATCAATCATGGAGGTAACTGGTTTAGTTTACCTTAGTCTTTTTGCCTTTCCCATTATTTTCTCTGGTTGTTTACATGTTATTGAAGTTTTCTGTAATTATCCAGGTTTTGGTTCGTCTAGTTGGCGCTGATGATCATGTCTATCCCAACTTTATGGATGTGATGCAGTGGTTGGCTAATAGTGATTTGCTTGAAATGGTTGTGGATAAATTGAATCCTTATGTAAGTAAAAAAATTGCGGCAGTTATTTTCTGTAATTTTCTTTTATACTCTGGTTTAATTTTTTGGGTTAGGAAGAAAAATCATGGGAAATGTGGCCTGAATTCTGGTTTTGAAAATTGAAACTATCTTGAATCTGTTATTTATCCTCTTCCCTTCTACTTCATTGTGAATGTCAAATATCATTGTTTAAGTGAACTTTGATGACATCTGCTGCTTGTTTTGGATCCTTTAAGTTAGACTGGTTAACAACTCTTTGCCTCCATTTCTTTTTACTTGACAAAAAATTAGCAATTTGATGCCTGACCTAAGATTCCCTGATCAAACATGGAAAAAGATAGTACCTAAACCTGTTGTGCACCAATGGTCAACAGTGGAGTACTTATTTTGTTTTCTTTTTCATTTCTTTGGGGATAAAGAACCATGACACAATCTACAATGAGTATCTGACATCATTGTTATACATGGAGCAGGGTCCTCCTGAAGTTCATGCAAATGCTGCGGAAACACTATGTGCAATTACTCGAAATGCCCCATCAGCCCTAGCCACTAAACTCTCTAGTCCTAGGTTTGTGAGAATTCATTCCTTTTTTGTACTGAAAGAACTTTGTAGTGTGTGCACATACATGCCTGTTCAAAATTTTTTGAGCGGGACTAAGATATTTGGTTTAATTGCAGCTTTGTTACAAGGATATTTCTTCATGCTCTGGAAGACTCACATTCAAAATCTGGACTTGTTCATGCGCTGTCAGTGTGTATATCTTTGTTGGATCCAAAAAGATCTGCAGTTTCTTCTCCCTTGATGCATTCTTTTCGAAGTCAACACATGTTTGAGTCTCCTATCCCCGTGAACCAGGAGACTATTAGTGCCATGCTGCCTAAGCTTCGTAAGCGTGTATTCTATTCCGATAAGAGTGTTTCATGATGTACACATTTCCTTGTGATTCTGATGTTTCATGCACTTATTGATGTTAAGTTCTAGCTTCTCTATTCTATGTTTGTGGTTCTTCCATGCCTTCTCGAATAGATTTCTTTTAGAGATGAATGGTTAAATAATCCCAAAATATCAATCTGAAGATAATTCCTCTTTTTCCGAAATTAAATGAAATTTCAACTATTATGCTTTTATGTTACAGTTTATTCTTACAGCAGAATACCTTTTTGGCAGCATCCTTGTCGGATATAAAATCTAACAATTGTTGGTTCACTAAGATTTGGCACATTCTATCTAAATTTCTTTCATACCCTTGAATTTTAAAGATTTTACATATTTTTGTGCAGCTGACCTGCTCAGGGTTTTAAATGTGTCATCTGATGACAAGTTGTTGCCTACAACTTATGGAGAATTAAGGCCACCTCTTGGAAAGCATAGATTAAAGGTTTGAAAGAATAAAGGCTTTGAGTCTGGGCTTGTTTCAATTCTGAGATTTGACTTGCTCTTTTCCTTGCTTATTGTTTAATATACGAACTGTGAGTGTTGTAGTTGTCTGGCTTTTATATGTAGAGTATGTCTCTTGTTAAAATTGGAACTCCAGAGAAGGTGTTGTCTTATTGATCTCTGTACAACATTTCTGATCATTTATTTTTCTTTAGATTGTGGAGTTCATTGCAGTTCTGTTGAGAACTCACAATGAAGCTGCTGAAAGAGAATTAGTTTCTTCAGGGACCATTCAGAGAGTCCTTGATCTTTTCTTTGAGTAAGCTTTTCCATTCTATCCCTTTTGTTAATCTGGTGACTTATAGAAGTTCTCATCTGGGACTATATGAGAAAGATGTTACCTTGCTCTAAGATTGCTTTATCATTTTAAATTATGCAGGTACCCCTACAATAATGCATTGCATCATCATGTGGAGAGTATAATAATATCATGTTTGGAAACCAAAAATGATACAATGGTTGATCACCTTCTTCGAGAGTCTAATTTGATTGGAAAACTTCTTCAAACCGATAAACATCCAACTATTTCTGGTGATAATCAGGTATATATTAACTAGTTAGTTAGTTATATTGATGATCATATATGGCTTGTAGTGTAAACTTGCACGCGGCCTGGCAGATGAAATGTCTTGGTAAAAGAAGATTAATGCATATGGAGAAATTAGAAAAGATATTGCAATCGTATTCGAGAATTTGACATACCATACATTTTATGCAGATAATGAACTGTCCCCTTACTGCTGTCCATTGAATTAGAGTTTAACAATTTTCCGATATTTTTCCTGTACTGCAGCCAACTTTACCTGCTGCTGGGAAGCGGGCTCCAAGGGCAGGAAACATTGGACATATTACTAGAATTTCTAATAAACTTGTTCAGTTGGCAAGTGGTAATAGCCGAATCCAAGCATGTCTTCAGGTGGGTATCAGGTTGGATATGTTATATTATATATTTTTCACTTTTTTTTGAGAATTATATTTTTCACTTTACATAAGGGACAAAATATGTACTGATGCAAGGTACATCTTAGATTTTGATTATGTTTGATTCCTGTAGTGTCTGGAAACTATCGAAGTTTCTGATTATGCGTGCCATTGGTCTTCCGCTGCAACATTGTTTAAAGGAGGATGCAACGTAATCCATACTAATGATAGGACTTGTTGCTTTGCAACTCTATACTTAAATCTATAGCTGTCTTTGGTTCATGCTTTTAACTTTTTAAGTTAAAAAGTTAGATTTCGATTAAAAAAAATGATTTGTTACCTATTTGGTTAAAAGTGCTTATTGTGAAAAAATATTTATAAATTTTTTTAGACACAAATATGCAGGATAAATAAGAAAATGAACTTTCAATGCTAATATTAAAAAAAAGCTAGAGGGGGATGCTTTTTTTTATCTTTGGGATAAACTGTTTATTTGGCATTTAATATCACCTTGCTTATGACATTATGGAACAGGTTCATATGAATAAGATGTTTAAGGCTTCTTATAAGTGAAAAAAAAGAAGTAAAAGAAAAGCCCCCTTTGAGTACTGTTTTTAACTCTAAAATGTTATCTTGTACTTAGTTTATATCATATGTATGGTGTTAAACATTTCTTACCCCATAAGTTCAATAACATTTTCTCAAGCATTCCTCTTTCGATCACTTGGTTCGCATGGAAAGAGCAAAGCAAGAGCTTTCAACAACTCTTCTCCCCCTTTTTATCATATTAGAGATCCCCCGGTTTAGCTATGTATTTTGCTTGAGGGGCACTGCATTTTAGATGGTGTTGATGTTTTGGATCTTTTTGTTCTTTTCTTCTGTAGGAGATCATAAATTTTGTATATTGTTTTGTGTTGCACCCTCTTGATGCTTGTAATAGAATCTTTTGCCTTTAAGAAATGGTGTTAAACATTTCTAGAAATAGAGAAATTGAAGTTCTGTGTTCAATTAAGTTGATGGTATAAAAATCTTTAAATGGAAGGTCATTCTCTCTGTATTTTGTTTCTTTAATGTCTTTGCTAACTGGTTTATGTTCATTTGGTATCTCTAGGAAAACAGCGAATGGAATGAGTGGCAGTTTAGTGTGTTGCAAGAGCGTAATGCAGTTGAAAATGTTTACCGTTGGGCTTGCGGGTATGCTCTTTCCTTTCTGCATTGCACATTTGTAGGAGTTCAATCTGACAATTATTAGGTAGAGCTTAAGGTTTTGCATTATATATATAATAATGATCCTTGTTGTAGTATTTATTGAAAAGTTGCTAGATGTATTGTCTTCATGGTGATCCTCAGTATATTTATGGAGAAATAACTTATGCACTACACATAATTAGAGGGAAAATGAAAGAGAATAAGATAAACTCTTATGTGGTTCGGCAATGTGCTCTTCCATGGAGCCACATGCAAAATTTGTCTTTATGAAGAAAACTAGGCTTTTCTTTTATATAAAGGGGAGAGAACCCAAAATTACAAGAATATTCCCATGATAAAAAAGACCCTTAGGCTCAAAGGTAGCCTTCTATACCCCCATCACTTTACCAGGATCCCTCCTTTTAAAAAAATATTACTGAGATCTCTCTGAATAGAGCTACTACTCAACAGTGTTTTCTCTATCCAATTATTTATTTATTTATCAGAAACAGAATTAATAAAAATAAAACTTTTAGGACCTTTTAACATATTTTCAATTGAAAGTTTATTTTTTTACTTGTAATTTCTTTATTTACTTTTGTTTTCATCATAAACAAATGTAAGCAGTTATATTAGAAACAATCGTTTCCTGTTACCTGCAACTTTAAGTATTAGAGATGTTCATTTCCTGACAGCTTCTGCTTTACCTGTTTCAGTCTACTTGTGTGCATGCATGTGCAGACAAATTGGGTTTTTTGCTGCATTCATGGTTGATTGTGGAAATTTACCTTGTTCCTTGTTATATGCAGCCGCCCAACAGCATTGCAAGATAGGACAAGGGATAGTGATGAGGATGACCTTCATGACAGGG